TCCTAATCTTACTCTTATACTTTCTAGTCTCAGGGTGTTTAACTAGTCTCTGCTAGGCTCATTAGATCTAGGGTATACTGGTTTGTTGCGGCTGCTGAAGTTCTCTTGGAGAGACAACTAATTTCTAAGTTAAATTCAAATCTCTCTGGTGCTGAAATTACAAGTAATTTCAGCACTTACAAATAAGTGGGTTGTTAGTTAGATGGATCATGATTGGTTAATATTAAATACTTTACAGTGGTAAAGTATCTAATTTATCCAATCATAAAATATAGTTTAGATCAGGTTCCAAAAGGGCAGAAAAACTCCAATTTTTATTCCGGAAAAAGTTCTGTTTTAAATCAAGATGTTGTTAGTTGAGTGTCACATCCAAAATTTTGTTAAGTGTACAATCGATTGTTTCCTTGCCACAGTTGTAATCACTGCGAACAAAAAACGCTTTAAAAAGTTAGCGTTGAATGCTAAACCAATGTATAGACAAAAATTTGAAAGAAAATATCAAATGCCTAATATCGTTGAGCTATTGGACGATTTGAGCCAAATCGTTTCAAAACTACAGGACGGTGAACTAAACTTTGCAGTACTGGATTTGAAATATATATATAGTCAATTGAAATTAGCGACCGATATAGTGTAATTTCAATATCGTTGGTGTAAATGCCACGGGAACATATAGATTCTCCAAATGGTTCTACGGCGTGGCAGATCTTCCTTCTAAACTTCACAAGAACTATGGACAAAACTACAAAAAATGCTTCATATTTGTTTTGTTTTTGGTACGACATCCTAGTGGTATCAAAGGGTAATGAAGTTGGTCTTGAAAAGTTAGTAAAAACGGTAGTGAAGATTCTGGATGAAAAAAAAATTTATCACTAAGAGACTCAAACTTAAATTTTCCATAAAGGAGGTTAAATGGGTTGGGAGATCACTGATCAGAACTGAAATCATGTCCAAAATCTCTAAAACAGAAGCAGTCTAAAAATAAGGCCCAATGAGAATGTTTAAACAACTCAGGTCATTTACAGGCAGCCTTGAAAAAATAACAATCCTCATTCCCAATGCTGCCAGCCTGACAAAAACGTATAGCCACTGCAACAGAACCCATTCACGAAAACTGTAATTCCAATGAGACAAAGAGCTCAACCAGAACGAAGACAGTCTAGATTGTTCAAAAAGTTTGCAACGGAGCAATTTGCGGGACACATCATGGTTTGCTTGCCATAGCAATCGAAATGTTCAAAACCAACAAAGCTCAACCGCAACAAAAACGATTTTGTTCCACGACCATCAAATTGCTCTACAACCAGTTTATATCAAAATCAGAGAGTTTGTTCAAAGAGTCAGTCGGTTTGAGAAAAGAAAATTTTCAGAAATTTTTTTACAGCGGTATGAGACAAGAGAGTAGAGAAGAAAGCTTATCCGATTAGAAGTGAAACTTCCCGAGCGATAAAGGAAGGAAGCAGGACAAAAAGTCAGAGGAGGAGCAAGTAACGGATACATTCCATTGTACCCTGAAAATTGCTCGTGGAAGCAGAAAAACTATTCGTTCTCGGATCGAGACAAAACGGTTCCACCCAGAGTGAACTAGTTGTTCCCAACTAAAGACCACATACCGGAACATCAATTACTGTCGGCCTGGCAATTGATTGAGAAGGAAACAGGAGAAATCACAAAAACAATAGAAGATTTAGAAGTCATCACAACAGCTAGAAGAGGAAAGCCTATCCAACCTGTCAGGCCTCTTCGACAAAAGTTGGATAGCAGAACTTACGTTGGAGATTACTTGGCTGGAGTGATTGAGCAATGCTGAATGTTTCAAAATACTGTTTTGGCCTCATACAGATGTACGAAATATGGCAAAACTGCTAAATTTTTTTCTCTAACAGTTCGGTCAAACCATTGCCACTGCTATCGCAGCCGGGTCAACAATTTCAATTAGATTATGCCCGGCCTACGGAAAACCATAAAAGGAAAAAATTCCTAGTTGTGGCTATTGATCGGCTTCTTAAAATTCAACCGGTAAGTGTGACTAAGTCAACGGGGATTGAATCGACACCCATGGAATACAGGAATTCGAACTGACCAATTTTTGGGATTGAAACGAAAAACGAATAAAATGTTCTGCACCGAACTCATAAGCGAACAGATTTTTTGTCGGTTGTGGGGACTATAGAGAATGCAGTTAGTTGGAAAAGAAAATGCAAACAAAAAAAAGACTTTTAATGATGTTATTCGACAAGAACAGGAGGTCTGTAAAAATTAGCCTTAGCACTATTATTGGAAACTTGAAAATTTTTAAAAGTTTAAAAAATAAAAACAATTACAAAATCTCCATTTGAAACTCTTTTTGTGAGACTATCTAAGGACGAGTTTAGGATTATCAGAGATAAGTTCTTGTTTAATTGTGGTTGCTTAGTCGATGAAAGATGAGGGATAGTCGTCTCTTGCGGCATCACAGTTGCAAAGAACTGACCAGTCACGCAAAAGCATGAAAACAGGGCGGGAAGGAACAAAAACCCTCTGTTCAAGCAGCAGAATTCAACGGCAAGATGAAAAGATTCAAGCTGTTGAAAAAACTACCCGAAGCTATGCCGGGTAGACCGAGGAAAGAGGAGACGCGGCAAAAACTTCATTCGAATGGTAGTAGATCTGGCAGGGCAAAAAAAATCTGAAAATGAAGAAAAAGCTCACGTATTCATGGGAAAAATTTTAAATGAAGATAAAATGAACACAAAGAGCAGAGGGTCATCCAAAAGCATTAGAGCTAAAGATGACGCCAGGAAACGTGGCAAGGCCATAGCTGCCCCACTGAAGGTTAAAACGCTTTCCGAGTCAGATTCATCTAACAAAACCACTCGAACGGTGTATTTGAAAAACAATATCGCTATCGCAAAGATCAACTTGGAGAAGGAGACGCAACAAAGCTCGAACAAATTCTTTTTGTCCGAAACGAAAAGCAAACATACAAGGAATAAATCGCAACAAATATCGAGTAATCAAAGTTAGAACCATAAAGCCAACAATCAAGAGTTCAGACGCCACATTCAGAAGAAAGCAAGGGAGACACCGAAAGCCTGATGCAGGGGCATGCCCAGCAGACGTCTCGAACGACAGATTTCAAGATAATCAATTTTATCTTAATTCGAGACAGAGTCAGGAGAGAGACTAAACTGCCAATCAAGAGAACAAAAACAATTACGTCGGGATGATGAAGCTAGGGATCAGCACCGCAGGACCAAGTTGTACTGCAAAAATTGGAGAAAAAACGTTCAGTACAAAAAGCCCGGAGAAGCAAAACTGCGCGGGCACGGTTAAAAGATTCAGTTTTGGCGCAAAAAGTAGAGTGGACACCAGACAAGGACAAAGAGACAGAGGTGAAAGAACCAGAGGAATATTACACTGAAGGAACGAGCAGTTCAATTAACAAACGAACAAAAAAGGCCGAAAGAGATACTGGATAGGTATACTGGATATGTAGATTTAGGGGAGCAGTGGTGAAGTGGTTACGTCTCCGCCTTTCAATCGAAAGGTCGGATGTTCGAGGCCCATCATGATCCGTGCTCGTTGCTTGAGGGTGAGGCAACATTACCCAGCCCAGAAAACTAACCAAAAAAATTGCATGTAGTTCTTAAGCAGGGGCACAACAGCGGTTCGCCGTGATGAGCTGTACAGCTCGTATGTTGGTCCTATCCCTCGTGGATAAATGATGTTAGTTAGGATACTTTTCGAAACAATCTAGCGCCGGAGGAAGGTTATGCGATGGCAGATCAGTTTTTGAAAAGACGAGTGCGAAAGACAACGGACGAAATCGGTTTGCAAAAAAAAACAACGATAAGTGAGACGGAAAGTTTGAGTTAACACCGGGATGTTTGGTCGAACCAAATCAGAAAGACGCGAATGTGAGGAGGGGCGCGACACCGAACAAAACAAAATTGGAGAACCTTTGAGATTCGGGGACACGGTCAATCATTCAATAAAAGAAATCTCAACAAATTCGCAGATAACGGAGTCACATGGGAGGAGATTAAAACCGGCACTGAAAACTGATTGTAACAAGCTAGCCAGATTGTAACATGAATTGGAACAAGATTGTAACATGAATTGGAATAAAGATGTTACAAACAAAAATTTAGTGGAAATTCAAAATGAGACTCAAACTCATATAATTATTTCAAAATTTTATCTATTATAGTGCTAAACCTTTTCCGGTCACTGTGAGTGTGATATTGTTCAGGAAGTAACCTTGTTGACGTTTTTATACTGCTTTAACTCACCATTTTAAGGTCAGTATGACCTCATGTTTGAATTGGCAGTATGTATTCAGAGTTGCATCTAGCTAGAGCAAGTCTCAGCAGCTTTGATCTCAGAGAACAAGGCAAGCTTCAAACAACTTGAGTTGAAGTTTTCACCAAAATTTGTTCTCGTTTACTTTCTCCTAAATTATTCCTTTTCACTTGCACAATTGCCCGTGTTCCTCTACCGTTTGCAAAAAAAATTATTCAATTGGCTGCAAGAAATCGGTTGGAAAAATACTGATGAAAGCAGCTCATGAACTAATCGTTACTGCAATGAAGAAAACCTCCGAATTAACTTTTCTTGCTTAAACTTAAACTACCAAACTGCAAGAAAGTTATTATTGAAACCAAACTTTAAATCGCAGAATTTTTTGATGAAAAAGTTTTTTGGCGTGTGTTTTCTTATTAAACTAATGAAGAAAAAACTCAAAGTTGTTTCTATTAATATTGAAGAAATTAGCGAATATTCTTCTAGAATTGGATGTTGTTTTGGCGTTGTAAAAAAAACAACAGCCTGCGTGGTCTCATTTGTCAATACGTTATGACGAAGGGGGTAATCGCATCGTGCAACCCGCAGAAATGAGGTGGGCGTTAATCGGTTGCACAGCTCTAACCGCTACACCCCTCCCCCAAGTTCTTACCCCAACTGCTCGCATGCGACAGTTTGTACGCCTTGAATTAGTCTCGAAAGGAACAAGTGTGTACCTTGAATGCAATGGAGATGTCGTCTTGGTCTCCCTCTTCGTCTTCTGGCATCTTTCGTTCCAACATCACCAGGAACTCATCGAACTCAATCGTTCCATTCCCATCCAAGTCCACCTTGCAAACAACAAAGCATCCAGTCGCATATCATCACATGTTTAGAAGCAAGCGGTAAGACTTTGTTGGGGACAGGGATGCCTCTTATATCTGATAACTTATCAACTGACTTTAGGTAACCCTGGTCGAGATCCCGCTCGGAAAACCTCTCAAGATTTGAACGGTTTAAGCGATTTTCTAGCAAAATTTGAACGGTTTGAGCGTGTTTTTTTGAAAAACCGTTCAAACCACTCAAAGTCCGGTGATTTCTAGAGGTGGTTTTTGAACGGTTTTTCGAGTAAAATTTGAGCGGTTTTTGAGGGGTTTGATTTAAACAACTAATCAAAAAATTCAAAGGCCCACAAAAAGCAAAGTGGCTCTAAGACACTTAAAATATTTCCAATGACTCAACCTTATACAAATACAGGGTAAACATACATACATATATGCATAAATATATGCATAAACACAAACAGTAAACTGTGTGAGATGAGCCGGTATCAACTTCTACAAAACAATCAAATTTTGCTGCTAAAAAGCAATTCCCTCGCGAAAACCTTTTAAAAAATAAGAACACAGGACATAGAAAACGAAAGCAGTTTTTCGTCATATTTTTAGGCGTGTATCGAAGGTCAATCAGCGCCACAAAAATGTGATTTCTTAATGTTACTTTTTTCGACACCCAGCTCAAAAACTGTTCAAATTTCGTGAGGTTTACACGGTTGTTTTTGACGGTTGCGCTCAAACGGCTCTAAGACACTTAAAATATTTCCAATGACTCAACCTTATACAAATACAGGGTAAACATACATACATATATGCATAAATAAATGCATAAACACAAACAGTTAACTGTGTGAGATGAGCTGGTATCAACTTCTACAAAACAATCAAATTTTGCTGCTAAAAAGCAATTCCCTCGCGAAAACTTTTTAAAAAATAAGAACACAGGACATAGAAAACGAAAGCAGTTTTTCGTCATATTTTTAGGCGTGTATCGAAGGTCAATCAGCGCCACAAAAATGTGATTTCTTAATGTTACTTTTTTCGACACCCAGCTCAAAAACTGTTCAAATTTCGTGAGGTTTACACGGTTGTTTTTGACGATTGCGCTCAAACTGCCTAAATCGCTTAAAAACCGATCAAGCTCTAGCAAGAATTGATCAAACCGCTAAAATTTATTCAAAACCACTCATACCTTGAACGTTTTTTTTTTAATTTTGTCCACAAAATTTTATCCCGGAGTATTTGTTCAGGACACAGGCAAACAGCCCTATAAAAAACTGCACTTTTAACCAACCAACCCAATACCAAAATATAAGCCACAAAAAACCTAAAATGTTCTAGTCGGCAAGTTTGATCAAGTCCTAAAACAAATTAAAAACTGCTCAAGGTTTATAAGAAACCGCTGAAACCGCCGGTTCTTATGCAAAATTTTGAGCGTAACCGTCTTGAAAACCACTCAAACGACTCAAGTTTAGCTTGAACTTGGCCTTAAAAGTTAGACTCGGGTAAATATACTCCCTCATTTTGAAAAAAAATGACACTAATTTAAACAAGACTGCACGTATATCAGGGCAAAACCCTGAATGATCCAACTGTCTCTTAATTCATATCCAATCGTTTTTGGGAAAAAAGTTACTGAAAACCTATAAATTTTAAACACTGTCAAAAGGTGAAATGTTGAGTCGTACAAAATTAACACGACCGATTAGCTATAGCCTCAGTTCAATTTGGAGCGATTTTGTTTTGGGGGATAATTCGCCGCGCATAAAAAAATTCGCGTTACGCTCTCAGCAATATGAACAAATTCTTCAAAAACGTACATAACTTAGTCCGGAACATGGCCATTTTGGCAATTTTCAAACCCCTAGAACTTTACAAAAATAATAAAATAATCAGAGGTAAGACATCTTTTTAGATTCGAACTCAAGAAGTCGATATCTTCAATGGGGTTTTAAAACGTTTTGTCAAAAACCATTATTTCGATCGGCGAAAATTGACTGAATAAAAAACCAAATATTCCGTTTTCTTCAAAAGTCAGTACAAACTTTTTTTTGTATTTTGTTTTGTATACGACTATTTTATACTCACTAGTTTCCTCACGAGATGAATAACAATTTGCCGATTGTAAATGCCGATTGTAAACCACATTTTCGAGAGATGTAATTTACACAAAAGAAAAGTAGCAAAAAAGGGATAAGGAACTTCTCCGGCTGATTTAAGGTTTTTTCTTTAAATAGACAAGTTTCATTGCTCGTTTCGCTTACTGTAAAAAAGCGCTTATAAACTAAAAAGATTGCTCGTATATCAAAGCCAACCCTGAGTGATCCCTCTGCTTTTTACTTACCTAGGGTCTCAAATGTTTTTAATACAATCACATTAAAAAGAACTCATGTCCAATTACCATAACTAATTCAATTAGTATTAATTCTGCATGTAGAATAAAAAGTGTGAAACATCTGAACTACATAAATACCTTGATGTAATATTTGTGCAGAATTGTTTTACAACTAATAAGTGGTATGGCTGTTACGTCATTAATTTAGTGCCAGTCAAAAGCGATGTAGCTTTCGGACGGCCATTTACTATTTGTTAGCTAAGTTACCGTTTTAATTCTGATCAACTTAATTCAACCAATTTTATAAGTTTAATCTAGTATTAGTCTAGTTTTAGGAATAAGCTAGCGTAGTTAGAACCTCTTATATCCTAACCCATTTTAAAATTTGTATTTTAAGTAGTTTAACTAAGACCCGATAATAGAATTTTTTTACATGGCGCAGTCAACCGATTCGAACTTATGAGGATTGGAATTCTTCTGGAACCATTCAACAAATGCAATCCCGCACTATTGGGAAAAATTTGCAGAAAAGTTTCACCTTACGATCATAGCAAAAGACTCCGTAGATATAGACAACTTCATCAACCCACCATAACGCGAACCATTACATGCTCCTATTCCTGAACATCCTGCCGGAAGCGATGATGCTTCGCAGCGATAAAATAGAGAAGCGAGATACACAGCACTGCTAAACCATTATACTGAAGAATTGAAAAAACGCAGACAAGAAGAAATTCACAAGTTCAATGGACTACAACTTGAAGATTTTGACAGGAAACTGAAGTCCCAAATCTACATAGCATTAGGCGAAGAGGGTCAAAACTGTTTCGCTCATAAAACGCAAGGAAAAAAATTTTAGATATAAACTTCGCTGAATTTTGGCAGTTGCTTCTAACAATTTTTACATCAGGAGCCACCTCACATATGAGCACTTTAATATTTTCCGCAGAAAGCCAAGAAAACTTTCACTGATTTTAGACAGAACTAGCAGAGAACTGTAGTTTGGCAGATTTGGAGGCAGAACTGGTGAGGGGCATTTTCATAACTAACACGAGAAATGTGGAAAAACAGAAAAAACTTTGTACTAAACACTTAAGTCCTGAAAATGTCTTAGTGTACGTTTTAGTTCAAAAAAAGGAACGCGAATACATCAACATTTCGTAAAAAATCCTGCCTCATTTTTCTCACAAAAAACTATAAACACACCAGAAACTCAGAAGTGTCGAAACTGTGGACAACAATTTAAGAATGGACACGTCTCAATATGCCAAGCCAGAGAAAGATCATGCTACAACTGTGGACGAAAGGGAGCAGCACAGGAGGACAACAAATTCAAACCAATGTACTTGTTCAAGCAAATACAGAGGCTGAATGAGCAAGTCAACACCAAGACACCAATTCTGAACCAGAATTTCAGGTCGATTTAGATAACTTCAGAATACAGGTAATTGACGAAGAAACCAAAATCAGCAACATAAGGGACAGAGTAGAAGACGGTATTAGAACAGTACTCTCCCAAGAAGGCCAAGAAATTAAGAAAACACTAAGAATGTCCTAATAATAACCCACTCGAAACAGAAATGATTCGGCCAGTCCAGTATCATTTATGGAAGGAGACCTCTTGCAAAAACTAAAGATCAGAAATCAATTTGTAAAGTAGAACGAACCACAAAGCGAGCATATCGAGGGTTCGACACCATTATAGAATAAAAAGAAAAAGTAATCGTAAAAATCCCGTCGAATGGATGAACAGCCAAGGATTAGAAGCCATTTATTAATGAGGGAGCTGAAAGAAATATATTGTGAGACGATATTTGTCCTAAATTGGGTATCAAAGTATCACAACTTCTTGCTCCTTCATGTAGAAAAACACGCCAAATCTGTCAAGTCCAACCATGCAGCGCTGCAACCCAGAACAAAAATCATTTCGAATCAGACAAACCCATCAATACAGCTGCTGGAAACGCCAACAAAAAAAGCGAGTTCTGAAAACTTATTCTTAAACAATTTCCAAACATCACTACAACAATTTAAAGATCTAAAAACTCTAAAACTTTAAGGTAAAGAGTCATTTCATAGACTCGCTAAAACCATTTCAGGTAAAAGGAAAACGAATTCGAATAAAATGAGTTCCGAATATAAAATAATGTGCTGAACAACTCTTAAAGACGGCCCTATAGAAAAACTAACTAAATGCTCGGAGGATTCTTTTATCAACTCTATTGTAGTATTTGCTAAACTAGATGACTCAGTTAAGTTAGCCCTTAACTCAAACATATTGAATAAGCAAATATACAGAAACCGGTATCAAATGCCAAATTTCTTTGAACTAATAGACAATATGGCGCTTACAGTTAGTGGAAACTCGGAAAACCCAGTATGGTTTTCATCGTTAGACCTCAAGTACGTGTACAGTCGAACTCCAGTATCTATTTTAAGCAAGTAATCGACTCAAGTTTAATATCGTGGGTAGAGAAATAACAGGCTCAAACCGTTTCAAAATCGGAATTTAGGAATTGGGTGACATTATGGACATGTTAGTGGAAAACAAATGAAAGACACATTGCTACTTAGACAATATATTTATAGCTACAGTTGGAACAGTCTGCGATTACAACAAAACAGTTTCAAAAGCGTTGAAAACGCTAGACGATGAGGGTTTAACCATCGAACATGAAAAATGCAAGTTTTTGAACACACAAGATTGAATAGTTGGGTTTAAAAAAATCTTGGAGCGAAACCGCTAACACATAAAGCTGGCGCAATTAAAAACCTCAAAGAACTAATATGCATTAAAGACATTAGATCACTAATGGGATCAAAACACCAGTTTAACAAAATCATACCTAACTTAGCGACACTCTTATCGCCGTTTAGAAAATTAATGCAGAAAAATAAATATTTCCTTTGGACGCAATAACATATCAAGAAGCTTTTGAGAAAGTGAAAACAGAAGTATCCAAATCTGTACTAGATCATCATTTCGACGTACTGAAAGAAACTAGGGTTAATTGTAACGATTCACTTACGGGACTCGGGGCTTCAATTGAACAAAACCATAACGGTGTTTGGAAAACTATAGCATTCGCATCACAATTCTTAAACGGAGCGGAAATAAAATACAGCACAAACGAATTAGGGTACGAAGAGTTGTTTTCTCCACAGATTTTTATGTGTGTCAAAACTTTTTTAATTGAACAGAGTTGTGTTCTCCAGAGTGCAAAACAGTTGATGCCGCATTAAACGCTAAACGCTTACAAATCAAAAATTACAATCTAACCAGAATGGAAATGACGGGAAGTTCAAACTCTATCGAAAACCCCTCTCTAAAAAAAACCTACCACCTCATCTTCACCAAAGAAGGGCAAACAATCGAAACTTAAATTGATTTTCTTCAATTGGCTGAAATTATTTGATACTAAATTCATGGCATGCTAACCGATAAAATTATTATATTAAAAATATCGAAAAGCCATCTCCGAAAACCGAAAGCAAGATAATGCACAATTGGGAATTTATTATAAACATTATATAGGTAGCCTACATACTTTTGCAGGATGCTTATACTTCGACGCACGCCTAGTGATCCCAGCTAGTTTGAGAACATCGATGTTATCCCGTTTACACGAGACGCACACTGGTCAAGTTGCTATGAAGAGCTAAGTCCTGTAATATCGGAAAATACAGGAACACGCGGAAAATTGTTTTGAATGCGTCAAGGCTGTTCAGAATCGAAAATCTTTAATACCCACTTCTCAAATAGGAGAGTTTCTCCCGGTAGTTGAGCCAAATCAAGATACGGACCTAGTTTTTGCCGGACCTCTACCGGTCGTGTGGTGAAAGAAAAAATACGTCTCAGTTTGTATTGACCGCTTCTCTAAGTTTCCATCCGCGCAAGTTACTTCAATTACCTCAGCAAAAACGATAACAAGTTTTCTACAAAACTACACAGCACTGTATGGCATCCCACTAAATCTGCGTGCAGAACAAGGGTCCGGATTCATAGCTAAGGAAGTCAGTTTAAAAAGTTCGCCAAGGATATAACATTAATCTAATCTTTAGTCCGATGGGGGATCATAGAACCCCAGGCTTGGTTGAACGACTCATTAGAACCATAAAGGAAAAGCTGTTGGTGATGGCTCAAGAACATCCAAAACTATCGCAAGAAAACGCTATGCTGAAATTCTGAACTGCCTTAGTACTGTTAAACAGCAATCACTAAACTGCACTCGATTTGAAGCTCGTTTCAAGCTCATTTTCGCAGGACTGCAAACGCTATGTGGCACAATCTAGTGAAATCTCCGTGCAAAACAAAACTTAAAATGGGATCGAAAAATGCTTTGCTAAGATAAAGTAAAAAGAAAGATGTTTCGAGATGGGAGGGATAATTAAGATGCACCGGACTACCTTGAAGATGCCGAAATAGACATATCTGACTCTTCATTGGATGAATTCTCTAAAGCAACGAAACACGTCCCTACAAGCGCAGCAACACCTAACAAAGCTAAGAAAAAAGCTCAAAAACGAGCCGCTCTAGGACTTACAAAATCGCAAACACCATCTCAGGGTAAGCTATCAGTATTTCGTAGGGCCCAAGATAGAAAAAAAACATGATCATTACTACAAAAAGTTCACGGATGAAACTATTAGAGAATCTGAATATACGGTAACACTGATTTAGCGATAAAACTGACAAACCCAACCTTCACAGAAAACCAGTAAGGCCCAGCTACTGAAGTTCTATGCTACAAAGGGTCCAGAACACTTCAAAAAGAAGTGCTTTCAAGAGTTCAAGGAAAACCCAAGCCGCCCGAAACAAAGAGGCAAAATTCGAAGAACTAGATATTGCCCGCCGAAACGCCGCAATGTATAGCTCAAGAGAAACACTCCTCGGACAAGAAGAGGAGGAGCAGAAAGCGAGATTGCGGGTACCTCTCGATCCCAGAACGACACGATCGGAATCGGGACCAAAAATTGTCACCACTCCTGACTCACAACCTGCAGTAAATGATCCTCTATTCCAAGAAGTCTTGTCTGGGGACGACTCAAGTGGTTTTCAAGTCCGGATGGAAGTTCAAAAATTCTTCCGTACTTCTACGCCCCAATCCTTCTTGATAGGAAGAACAAAAGCCCGAAGCTGGAGCGAACGAGCCCCTTCCTTGAGATAACAACAACCTCAGCAACCTCGATCGCTAAGATAGATTAAAGCAACACTGCAAAACATGGATCACCAATAGCGACTGTCCAGACAGCTACGGAGATAAACCCTGCAAAAACCACGATTATCTCTCCAATTAGATCCGAACAGCCAACCCCCACAGAAGCGATTATTGTCTTCAAGTCCAGGACAACACAGCCAAGGATTATCGACCTAGATATTACGCCCCCAACTCTGTGAATCTCATCTATATCTACAAATCCAGTAAAAATGCCGTCAAAACGAACCAAATCTAACTCTGATAAACCTTCAGGGGCAGCTAAGAGAAAGGCTTAGTCACCGATACACTCGCCCCCATTGAATAAACATGCCGACTTGGTCAGACATCAGACATAACACTAGACCTTTACGTTCACGCCAGCCGCCGAAACTTCAGGGAGTGAGAGTTTTTACTATCTTCGTTGATGGAGACTCTGTCCAGGAGAATTCGAGACATCGCCGACTACCAACCATAGAACCGACCCATTAGAGGCAGTCACAGTGGAAGAAGTATCCTGGAGCACCGGCATAGTGGACCTGGCATCGCCTCCAGACTCATGCGCAAGAACCGACCCGACTGCCCGTCAAAATTCGCCTAGGAGAACTACGTTTAATTCATACGTTGCGGCGCTCTCGCTCAGACCCTCTGATGCCTCATCTCGATACTCGAAAGTAAATCTGGCCCCAGTGGAACGGTGGATCCACCTCGACTCAATTTCTTACTTTATCGATTTCTTGGGACGTCCTGTGACTAGAAATGAATTGAGAGTATGATGTACCCAAAAAGCCAAGAGAACCTAACATGGCAAATACCACGGAGACCTATAGAAACTCGGTCGCGCAAAGCTTTTTAGTAAACTTCTTATTTTGATGCTTCTTGTAGTACCTCTTATCCAGTTATTACATACATTAGTACAATTTGGGGACTCTTAAATATTTAACAACGTTTAGTGTAAAATTTTGTTGATCCTTAGTCCTATTTACTGAGTTATGTATCCCCTACTTGATTGTAGCTTCAGCTGTTTCGTGCTTTCACCTTTATTGGTGCTAAAACTCTGTTTTAGTTAACGATTTGTTTTAACGCTACCAAAACTTTTTGTTCTTGTCTGACAGGTGGAAAGGAAATAAGTTTAAATTAAGCATTGCCGTAAATTTTCAAGGGGGTGTGTGAAATATCTGAAATACATAACTACCTTTATGTATTAATGGTGCGGTACTGTTTTACAACCATTAGAGGTCTGGCTGTTACGTGATTATTTAATACCTGCCAAAAGCGATGGAGCTTTTGGACGGCCATGGTTCATTTGTTAGCTAAGTTACCGTTTTTAATTCTGACCAACTTATTTCATCCCATTTTATAAATTCGTTTCAGTCTAGTTTTAGGAATTAGTTAGCGTAGTTAGAACTTTTTATATCCTAACTCATTTAAATCACTGTACCTTTGTTGTTTAACAATAATCCTCAAATTTTCAAAGGAGCATTTCACGTATGCTCCAAGAGCGTTTTTTAGATAGCGTGCATAGCTAACCCATTTTGTAAAACATGGATTTTAAGTTCGACGCACACTGTATAAGTTTCGTTTGGAAATTGGTCTAAATAGAAAACAACACGAAGCATATGTTCCGCAATTTTGTTCAAATATTTAAAATTAAATTCCTTTATACAGTTATTGCTAACAAAATTTTCCCAAAACCCTAACAATCGGGGAGTCGATAAAACTGTTTTTCTATTTTTTTGAGAGGCACTTACATTGATTTGGCAGCATTTTGGAAAAAACAACACTAATTTAAAAAAAAAATTTTTTTTTTGTTATATACGACTATTTTATAAAGCTGGCTGGATAGCCTTTCATAGATGCTCTTCGAATCGCAGAAACTACAATTAATTAATTGATTTGTTATTTAATTAACTATTTTGTAACTATTTCAAAAAAGGGCAAAAAAAATACTCTTTATTTCATCTACTTTAACTGCGACTAAATTTTTATCTGAGGGCAGCCTTTACAACACTCTTGAAACATTTTCTGAACAATTTTGATAGTTGAATGTTTTGCTCTTGTTTATGATCGATAAAATATCAATTTTCGAGATGCGCAAAATTTTTAACTCATTTCATGCTTTTGCGTAGCTTGTATGATGTGTTACCTCCAAAATGAACTCTTTGATCTCCTCTTCCGACATGGGAGTACCCAGCGTCTCCATAACCTTGCCCAGCCCCACCTCGTCAATAGCATCTTCGTCGTCCTGCACGAACATGTCAAAGCACTCTTTGTACTCCGCAATCTGGTCAGGCGTGAATCGAGTCATCTCTGTTCTCTCTTTTATCTCTCTTGCTATCTTTCTCTCTTGATCTAGCTCTGGCTACTCGATCTGCCGAAAAAAAAGACCCGATAGCTGTTTTTTATAAGTTAAAAGACCAAAAACACAATTGAAGGTTTGAAAATAGCACACGTAAAAGTATAACAAAAAATATGCAGAGTCTAGCCAGCCGGTAAGTCTTGCTCGTGACAATAAAAAGTGTAGAATATGTTGTATATATTTTTTGCGTTGAATGATGATTGATCACAAATCAAGCATTGGTCAAATTATTTATTTAAATCGTGCTTCTATTTGCTTTTGGTTGTCACCATTAATAATTTTTGTTCTGTGCGAGTTGGTTTATATTTGAAAATTTTAAAAATCAAACACGTGTTTGAAAACTTAATAATGAATAAATGGATTTTCGGAGTGGCTCATCTACTTTTTATGATTACATTTAAGAGAAAAGAGGACCACTGAGTACGGTAAGACTCAAGTTAGGAGCCATATTTGGTTCAAGTATGGAGTCGTTGGGTTGGCGTTGCAGCAACTTCATCTTCAATCAACTAAAAACGAAGCGCTAAAATTAATAGCCTCATCTAGGAAAAGAAGGCGGATATATGAGCAGGGGGTTGCGGATCGGGGGTTAATGAAGAGTGATCTTGATGTTGATACTATTTTATGGCATCCATTTTTAACCGACCTACCCAAAACATTTTCTGAAGGCGGCTTTGGTATGCACCAAAACTAGCTAGGAGAGCCGCGCCAAAATTAGTCAAAACCTTCTGAAAAGTTTTATCTCAAAAGTCCATCTCCTGTGCAAACAAATTTGACAATATTGTGTCTTGTCGTGCTGTAAAAAAGCTCAGGCAAAAAAGTGAACGCTCTAAGAGAAAAATTGACGAAACTTTCGATTTTTTGTTCTATTTCCGTGAAAACCCTAGATCAGCTCAGGCCTAATTGTTCTTAGGTCATGGTGGGTTGTATCCTTTTAATTGAAAACTAGTTTTCTGATTGACGAAAAAATGTTCATCGGTAGAATAATTTGGGGCATTTGGGTTTAAACTTGGCCCTTTTAGAGTAACCAGCGGTAAAAAAAAGTAATCAGTGTATTTGAGTCAATTGTCTCGCTTTATTAACAACTTTAAGTGAGAATTTCATGCATAATATGGGATCGATTTACACTACTGTATGTTGACTCTTCTCATTTTATACATTTTTTCAATGTTTTCCTTTTCATACATTTTTTCAATGTTTTGGTTTTCATTAGTTAATATGTAAGTGGAGTGTGTTTAATGTATATGGCAAGTATGTGCCACGTCGGACCTCTCTCCACGTCAAGATTAAACTGAATCTTAAATTAAATCCAGTTTTCAGCTGAATCCGAAGTGTTTAAATAAGGAAAAGCATAGCAACACTTTTATTTAGAACTATTTACTCAAATATCCCATTGCATTACCGACCAAATAAACCAAAATTATTTAACTGTTTTTTATTCTAATAAAAAATTCTAAAATATGAAATAACTCAATTTTTGAAAATCTTGAAATAAGAAAATAACTGAATTGAAACAAATTTAGAAGAAAATTACTCGTTTCTCACCATTGTCTTATCCTTATTTATTTTATCGATTGATATGAATGTTGATATGAATTTGGTTCTCGTCATATTGTTGATCAGTTCTTGCTCTTGGCAAGCTTGCCAATGCTTGCCTCGTAAGTATTTTATTGATTTCTTTTCTGGTAAAAGTTATATTCTCATTTTCGAATTTTTTCTTAGCAATAAATGATACCTCAAAAAATCAAATCACCGGGTTTTTCGCCTTTGAAAAGTACTTCCAGTTTCCAAAGCTTCATTTTCTTGCGCAATAATCCGGCGTTTGAACGGAGTTAAATGTTCACTCGTGTATTGCAGTAGCGAAAATGGTGGCGGTACCGGAGTCTCCGGATGTTCTGATAGAAGCGCCGAAAAAGGAGCTTCGTGAAAATTTGAAAGGAGAAGACGGAGCGGATGAGAGCAGCATCCAGTTCTCTACCGAAGGAGAGGAGGACTCGAAGCAGATGCAGCAGAGAAACGACAGGTTGGCCACGCCCACAAAGTCAGAGCTCTGCCCCATACAACCAATACAATAACACCCCTGTATATTATTACTCTAGAATAGAACCGTCTGACTGGCGATAACAAAACAAACGAATTAAACATTTTAAACAATTAATTAATTTTTCCGACTTTCGATACGAAAGTAACGGAATATTTGTGCTCGGGGTGGGTTTTTTTCTTCAGACAAATTTCGACTTTTTAACTAGCCATTTTTGACGGATTTTTTTATATCATTCAAAAGGTATTGTTGTCCTGAGCTTAAATTTGAAAAGATATTTTACCTGTGATCATTTTTCGTAAAGCTATGAGGGTTTAAAGATTGCCATTTTGGCCATTTTGACCAATTTGGGACAATTAACGCGCGATATAATTCGCGCTGTCAACGCGTAAGCGGAGATTTAATCCGTCTTATAAATCGTTCCAAATTGGTTGAACGAAGCTTATTTGCCATGATTGATGTGTTACAAGGAACGAAAACTATCTTTTTGTACTTTATATGGCGTGTGGGGGGATGATTTTCATAAAAAAATTCAAATTTTAGGAAAAAAAATTTTTATTTTATTTTATTTCATATAATGTTTTTATGTTATTACTGCTGCTCCATAAACCTTCAAAAGCAGTCGGAACATTCAGGGCTTCGGCCTGATACGAGCAGTCTTGTTTCACTTTTGGCTGCAGCTTGGGCCTACTCGATTTATGGTTTGACCACATTTTGGTCGATCCGGATTCAGTTGAAACAGTTTAAATTAAGGGCGCTGATCTGAATGAGTTACTAAGAAATTGAAGTTAAAACCGTTTCCGATTTGACAGCCATTCCGTGCCAGTTGTAAGGGCTCATTAGCTTTCCTTAATCATTACTCCGTATACGGCTCTTAATATTTTAGACTGGTCTTCTAGAATTGCTTTCTGGATTGCAACATGACCCGTTTCTATCTCTTCCTTCTCGACTACTAGTGCATCTTGAGGATGATGGCACCCAAGAGATGAGTCAAATGTGACCCCTTAAACTCAGAAATGAGTTCACCCACTCAAAATTGCCTTCGGTTTATTCGGATCTTCTTGTTCTTTTTGTTTCGACCATTGAAAAGGGAGTTTTTGTGTTCGGAAGTGTTTTTTTTTATTTTACGCAAAATCAGTTACCACAAATAAGCATTGGAATACGTTTAGTAGTATATCATTTTCAAGCATTTTTAGTCGTGATTCGAATGATTTTAGAAAGTTTCTAAAAATGTCTCAGTGTCGAGAAAAACAGGCTTGAAATTTTTGGTTTTCGGTCTATCTTTGAGCGAATAAAGTGTGCGTGCAGGCTTAGTTTGTTTTTCACGCAAAATCAGGTACCACAAATAATCATCGGAATGGGTCGAGTGAAATCAAGCCATTTCAGCTCTCCCAATTTTTTTAGTGTTGAGAAAAACTGTTTTTAAACGTCAGAGTTTTATCTCAATTTACTTGCACAGACACAGTAACCGGCCATGCTGCTGAAAATGAAGCTCGTATTTTATTGCTCATTTGTTCTGTCTGTCAATTGGCAGGTACAGTTCACACAACAATGGAGCCGGCCTCATTGTTGACAAGCCAAAAGAGGAACAGAAGAACAAATTCATCAGTCGCAGTGAAAGTGAAAAGGAGGCGAAGCTGATCGAGAAAGACCAACTGTGGGCGTCGCTGACGGATGCACAGAAGGCCAAACTGGCTGGGAGGGACGAGGGACATCTAAGTAAAGACCAGGCTGGTCCAGATATGCCAGAACACCACCCAGAAATTTCCCTTGAAGGTCAACACGTATTTCTTTTTTGAAGACTTCAATTAGTACCGCGCCTCCCTTTAAACAAACCAACGAGTTATAATATGAGTGACCTTTTTCCTAAAGTTAATGGCATTTACTTTCTGTGGTCAGTTTTATTATTGTTTATTCGTTCATCTAGCGCTAAATTACAATCGCTGCTGGGCTGGGGGGATATTAAATCAAGCTAATGAAAATTTTTAAAACCAGCTGAAATTGATATAATTGAAGCCCTGAGCTCATTTAAAAAACTAGCCCACTGATTTTTTTCTTGAAAATAAGGGAATTGAAAATTACAATTTTGGGATGATTACAAGTGTTCTCTTATATAGTGGTTATGACATAGTCGTTAAATTAGTTCACTCAACTCATTTAGTTTATGTTCAATCATTATCTGTCAATTAGTTTCCGTTTCATTCTGGTGCTAGACACAGTTGACAGGTACTGAGCGTCTGCCACATTTGTTCGACCTCTAATTTAAAGTCTTTATGATCTTTGATATAACTGAGTTGGTTAATCAAAATGAGAAATGAAATGTACAAAATCAAGCTCTTTTCAACATGGCGCAGCATGCAGGACAAGGTAGGAATTACATCTTTTCGGTCGTCAAAAAATGCCAAACCACCGATGCTGTGGGAATCTGGATCAATCGCTTCCAGTAGGGGATGGTTGCAAAATACTCTAATAATTGCAAATTTTTACTTAGGGGATACCCTTATGCCGGCGCAAATAGGGGATTCAACTACAGATGTAGATGGGAAACTGTGATTGGAATCGGGCAAAACGTTAAAAGGGGAAAAGGACAAAACAAATTGCATAAAAAGAGACCACATCTGGATCTGGGTGCTACACGCTATCTAAGGGTGCTAGATTCCATTAAAGAAGAATTCAAAAAGAAGCGGAATGAGACCTATGAAGTATTCCAACTATTATCGCGCAAACAACGAATTGGCGAGTTGCTGGAACAGTTCCATTCGGTACTAAAAAGCCTTGCAGCAAGATGCAACTTCGGAATGCTGAGAAGAGGGATTCCGTTTTTTTTGTCGACATAACGAACAGGGAAACTCAAAACGAGCTATGTAGATCGACGAAACCCCAGAAGTGCTGTACCGCATGACGCTGTCGTCCGAGAGGGGTGACAAATATGCAAAGGCGTACGTCTTAGCAGCCGGAGAAACAAGCTCAACAAGTTCACCGATGGGGGAAGGAATGCAGGTTAAAACAGCCGGTTGATGTAATCAGGGGCGGATACCGAAATAGCCGAGGGCGCGGACGTGGATCACGCCAAGGAAGACGAGTAAAGCAAAACATTCATGATTCGGGGCCAGGAAGATCACAAACGAAACGATACTGCCGGAAGACATGGATGATGGAATTTCAAGTCACAAGAGCTCCGTTTGATGGGTTAACAAGCCGTTGCTTCAACAAGACTCATGGAATTCGGATAGTTTAGGAGATTATCTGGTTATATCGATTAGACCGAAAAAGAGCACTGAGCTGCGAGTCGCAGGCGCAAAACTAGCTACAGTAATTAACGGAAAAATTACCTGCGTATGGGCAGATAGTGAATCGCCGATCTGAATCTTCACGATGGGAGAGCTCTGCGATATGGATCTTAACGATTGGAGAGCTCTGGAAAACGCTTGGCTCCACCGGAGTAAAACTATGCGGCTTAACACCGGAGGACCAAAAGTTCCGAGACTACAGAAACACCCCCACTTCATTTACATGGAACGATGAAGGTGAACCTGGTGTCCAATGGCTGGACGACGTCAGCATTCATCAAGGTGATTGGAGGAAACCACCTATCAATAATCGGACGCGATCTAATGGCTGAACTGGGACCCCAGCTAATGCAGAGTGCACCCTTTAAGACGCGGTAAATCAACAGAAACGTTCCGAGTCAAAACGTGCCTCAACGGGTTAACTACAATGCCAGCGCAATTTCAAAGGGTTATGTCAGAGTTTTCACAAGAACAGTGACGATATATCAATAAAAACGAAAGGATCACATATCACCGTTTGAAAAAATATCGAAAATTTTGGTCAAAAAAAATTTGGCACTAAAATTGACAAAGTGCAATTTCGCGCAACGACAATGTAAGTGGTTAAGGCTTAAAATAACCACGACAGGAGTCACCCCGTTAATTCGAATGTGTGACATTTGACCAGAATGGATATAATGCAATTTCGAATTCATAGCCGCTGACCTGGAAGATTAACCGTTTTAGCAGATTAGCGACGTTATTTACGTGATCGTCGTAAAAATCAAAAGATTCTGGAATTTTTAATTTTTAAAAAATTGATTGATGACGTCACACTTCTGAGAAATGTCGAAACGGCAATTTTTGGAAAAAAGTAAGAAGAAAAACACAACAACAAAAGTTGCGATATAATCAACGACGAGAAATAATTAGCAGAGACCGCTCCGTGTTGTAACGGTTGTGTCGCTACAATCGTTACATAGCAATTCACGCAATCGGCGAAGGGTGTTGGGACAGTGTATCCAGCCTTCTGGAAAGGAGATAAGAACGTGACCTGAACTCAAAGTCTTTTATACAAACTTTTAGCTTCCTGGTTATGTCCTGAATTGAAATTAATTATTATCCAGATTCATTTCAGATAATGAGAAGCTAGGAGTTGAGGGAAAGGGCTGATCCATCTTCGATGGAGATGATGATTTTTTTCTACTGAACAACAACAATAGTAATATAATAAATAGTAGTAGCCCTGTTTTTAGGAGTGACCTCGTGGTCTGGGGATACTGAGACCAGCCATGAGCTCACTAATATTGCATATAATTAAGTAAAATTGAGTGTTTTGACCGAAGCCGAAAGCAGTAACGTTTTTGTCGACCCGATGTAAGAAAAACCACCAAAAGAACTGGCTTTGCAGAGACGTTGAAAAACAGCTAGAGTTGTGTTTAGACGCTAGCCAGTCGTTTGAGAACCTAGCTTTTTTTTCCGTCGATATGTACTTCCGGGCGAATGTTACATAGATGTTTTATGGCGCTCCTGGGTGTTATTCTTTTTAACATCATGACCGGCAGGACCGTTAACGAGCACTCCGCGCCGAACGGATGCTCATAATAACGCCCTTAATAAGGCCCCAACCGCCGGGGTGGAAAGGTAGTTCGGAACGCGAAAGCCTTCTGGGTTCCCGTGAATAGCCATTTAACCTCGTTAACACCGAAAATTCACGTTCCAGGAGGGGTGGGGGGATTGGCCGTCCCCTCGTTCCCTGAGAGGTCTGTGACCAAAAACATTGAAAAATATACAAGAAACCAAACAAAAAGTAGTATAGTACCTAAGAAAAACAAAAAACATAAAAAATAACCGAAAAAACCAAAAACATTAAAAAAAAAGTATAAAATCAGTAGCAATCATCCCCCCAGACGAGATATGATCCGACCCTTCCGTTTGTAGTTGTTAGATAAATTATTGTTACAGGCATTGATAACAGTTAGGATCATTACGATCAATTGTGTGGCACGTTTGTGGTGCTTGTACTGTAGGGTTATTTGAGTATTTAAGCACGTTAATGCTAACTTGCGCTCAAAACGGAAGGGTCTCGGGATTAGTGAAGAAAACTGATCCGGCAAGCAGTTCAAGGAGCGGCAAGAAAGGGCTCAAGGACAACAACAATCGACTGTTGGGTATCGTTAAAAGTTTTGGATTCCTTTTGGTACAAAAAGTAAGATATTACTCTGTGGGGGGCTCGACAGTGACTGCACTGTAGTGACCCTTCACCGAACTGCGAATTTCCGAATTAAGCACCTTAATTCGGACATTGAACAAAACCGGAGGGTTATAGTATTACAAGTATTTTTTTATAGAGCCGGTATTAATATTCCTATACCATTTTTCAGTGAAAAACACACAAAGCAGACCGGTTTTTAGGGTCAAAATAACGATATTTTGATCCCCCACAAATCGCGATTTTTGAGATATGGATATTTTTTGAAACGGAAAAAAGCGCTAAATTAGTGAGTTACAATGTAATAGTACTAGTATAGTAGGTAGAACTGGTTAAGTTTAGTTCAGAACTGGTTAAAAGTAATTGGGTACCAAAAACCGAATTTTATTGATTTTTGAAGGAACAAAACGCTACAAAATAAATTTTTTTTTTGAAATTTTTGAGTTAGGACAGTGAAAATTGTTGTTTGGACAAAACTCACTAGTGAAACGACAAGTTTTAAGATCCGTTTGCCGATAACCGTCCGGGTTACAGAGAAAACGAATTTAACGTGTTTGATTTACTGGATTCACCAGTCCGGAGGGGTCCAAATAGCATTGTTTTTGGCAAATTTTTCCAGCTGGAACGTTTTAGATCGTATTTTTTTATATCGAACTAAAAGAGTATAGGCCTTTTGAGCCCGGAGAAAAAATTTTTAGGTCGAAAGGAACAGAATTGCGAAAAAAGTTAGGCGGAACCTATAAGAGAGAAAATTTTTTGATTTTAGAAAAAAGACGTTTTTGTTAATAACTTTGGAGCTACTGGACAGATCCAGTTGATCTTGACACCATTACATCAAAAATTAGTGAGTTTACTCATAGAACCATCAATTATTTGAGAAAATACGCGTGAAAAGTTTTTAAGATTGTTTTTAGCAAATTCACCAATTCGGGAAGGTAGACCCTTCACGTTTTATAAAAGTTTTTTGGAAAGCCCTGATACCCCTACCAAAGGGTAGCAACGGTTGAATAAGGCAATTTTACGCTGTTCTAGACAAAAAGGGAAGGCTAAGGGAACCAGAAGACAATAGTCGAGTTGAAACTGGGCTAGTAATAAGACCCTTCACAGTTAAGGTGAATTGTTAAATAAGAGGCTTAGCTTCAATCCGGAAGTCTCTAGGAAAAGAAAATACAACCTTCCTAGTTAGTACAAACAGCATAATAGCATCGGAGAACGTAACCGGAAGGGTAACGGGTGGTAATTTTGGAAGTCTCTGAAAAGCGATTTTTACAAACCCGGAGGGGTCCCAATTTTGC